AAAGGCTGGGCATTTGTATTTTTTCAGAAGTAGATGTTAGGCAAATACATAAATAAAATCTTGGGGGGAAAAATAAGTAGATGTTGGGAACTATAGGGTACAGTACCGTGGAGGTGTTTTTCCCTACCAGGTGCTGTCCCCTCATTGTTGAGCACACTCTAGGTTGCATCCTTTGGTGACTTTGGTGTGAGCTTTCTGGATATTAATCACAGGGGAAAATCAGAGGTGGTTAGTCTGTTGTCAAGAGGTATCTCACTGCAAAAAAAGAATTAGGGATTTTTTATATTTAAGGCTTTCTGGGACTGCTCTTTTGAGATCTAAGACTGACTTGAATGGAAAAGGAAGCAGAGCTAGAGGTTTCTAAAACAGTTACTTTCGGGTGCCTGGGTGGCTCAGTCATTAAGCGTCTGCCTTCGACTCAGGTCATGATCCCAGGGCCCTGGGATCGAGCCCCGCGTCAGGCTCCCTGCTCTGTGGGAGGCTTGCTTCTCCCTCTCCCCCTCCCCCTGCTTGTGTTCCCTCTCTCGCTGTGTCTCTCTCTGTCAAATGAATAAATAAAAATCTTCAAAAAAAAAAAAATAGTTACTTTCACACTGGTGGGATTCCGAGTGAAATATAGTTCATCCTATGTGGAATACTACATTGCTTTGATAACTTTGAGGGCTCAGAAGAGAGTTGAGTTCAGTTATATACCTGGTTCGATATAAAAGGGGCCTCAAATTTTTGTCAGAATCAAACCACAGGATGTGGAGTTCTTTAAATCTCCTGGTTATTCTTCCTCACATCTTTGCAGGCACTGTGTCGGGCAGAGGATGAAGAGGATATCCGTGCGGCCACCCAGGCCAAGGCCGAACAGGTGGCTGAACTTGCAGAATTCAATGAGAATGATGGGTTTCCTGCTGGTGAGGGAGAGGAGGCCAGCCGGCCTGGGGCTGAGGATGAAGAGATGTCCCGAGCTGAGCAGGAAATCGCTGCCCTTGTAGAACAGGTCAGTGTTGTACCCAGTAGTTCTCAACTTCACCCTTCACAATTTCTTCCTCTGGACCTTGTGGTCCTCCTTTATCTTCTCTGGTGAAAATAAGGGTGATGGGCTCTGGTTACCAAGTCCCTACTACGTTCATTACCACTGCTCCTTCCCACAGCTGACCCCCATTGAGCGCTATGCCATGAAATTCTTGGAAGCTTCACTGGAGGAGGTGAGCCGAGAGGAGCTCAAGCAGGCAGAAGTGAGTATTTCTAGGGAGTGGGGACAGAAGTGAAAAGTGGCTGCTTTCTACCCACTTCCCACCCTGCTTGCTTCCCTCTGACCACCCACTGTTTGGGCTCTCTTGTTGGTAGGAACAAGTGGAAGCTGCCCGCAAGGACCTGGACCAAGCCAAGGAGGAGGTGTTCCGCCTACCCCAAGAGGAGGAGGAGGGTCCAGGGGCTGGGGATGAGGTTTCCTGTGGGACTGGTGCAGGCAGTCACCGGCGCAGTAAGAAGGCCAAGGCCCCTGAAAGGCCAGGGACTCGCGTCAGTGAGCGTCTTCGTGGAGCCCGGGCTGAGACTCAAGGGGCAAACCACACTCCTGTCACATCCACCCATCATACCCGTAGCACTTCCACACCCCCACGCTGCAGCCCTGCCAGGGAGAGAGTTCCCCGGCCAGCACCTAGGCCTCGACCCACTCCAGCTTCAACTCCTGCCGTAATTCCTGCCCCAGTCCCTGTTCCAATCCCTGCCCCGATCCCCATTTCAGCCCCAAATCCAGTAACCATGCTTCCTGTTCATATCTTGCCTTCTCCCCCACTTCCTCCTTCACAGATTCCTCCCTCTTGTTCTTCTGCCTGTACCCCTCCTCCTGCCTGTACCCCTCCACCAGCTCATACCCCACCTCCCACCCAAACCTCTCTCTCAACTCCTTCCTCCCCTCTCCTGCTTGGTCTACCTTCTGTGCCCATCTCCCCCCCAGTCACCAACCTCCCCTTTGGCTTGGGGCCTGAGACAGAGCTGTGTGCACAAGCATTGGCATCTACTGAGTCCCCGGAGCTGGCTGATATGGCCAGTTCCGAGACTTCCCCGCTTACTCTTGTGCCCCCTAAGGATCTGTTGCCACTTGCTGTTGAGATCCTGCCTATATCAGAGAAGAACCTTTCTCTCGCCTCTTCTGCACCTAGCCCAACCCTGGAGGCTGACAGCGTCCCCAACGGTCAAGAGCAGGAAGTGCCAGAGCCTGCTGAGGGGACCATCCTCACAGTGCTGCCTGATGGTGAGGAGGTGCCCTCGTGTCTGAGTGAGAGCAATGGGCTGGATCTCCCACCTTCAGCATCTGATGAGCTACTTCCGGAGCCATTGGAAGCTGACAAGAGCTCAGAAGAGCTGGTGGAGGCCCAGACCCCAATCTCCAGCCCAGAGAAGACACAGGAACTTGTTTCAGCAGAGGTCGCAGCCCCATCAACCTCATCCTCCGCCACCTCCTCGCCTGAGAGTCCTTCACCTGCCCGGCCCCCTCGGCGTCGCACCAGTGCTGATGTAGAAATTAGGGGTCAGGGGGCTGGTCGGCCAGGGCAGCCTCCAGGCCCCAAAGTGCTCCGCAAGCTGCCAGGACGGCTGGTGACTGTGGTTGAGGAGAAGGAATTGGTGAGGCGACGGCGACAGCAGCGGGGAACTGCCAGCACCCTATTGCCTGGAGTCTCTGAGACTGGTGCCAGCCCGGGAAGCCCATCTGCCCGCAGCATGTCGGGGCCAGAATCCTCACCTCCCACCAGTGGGCCCTGTGAAGCTGCTCCCCCGTCCACACTGCCCACCCCAACTCAGCAGCCCTTCATAGCTCGCCGTCGCATTGAGCTGGGGGTGACTGGTGGGGGCAGCCCAGAGAATGGAGAAGGGGCACTGCTTGCCATCACCCCTCCAGCTGTGAAACGTCGGAGGGGGAGGCCCCCCAAGAAGAACAGGTCTCCAGCAGATGCTGGGCGAGGGGTGGATGAGGTACCTTCATCCACCTCTAAGGGAAAAACCAATGGGGCTGACCCAGTCCCTGGGGCTGAGACCCTTATTGTTGCGGAGCCTGTCCTGGGCCCCCAGCTTAGTCCTGGGCCCCAGCCTCTTGGACCCCAGCCAATTCACAGACCCGAGCCCATCATCCTCTCACCTGTGGAGAAAAGAAGGCGTGGGCGGCCCCCTAAGGCACGAGATTTGCCCATTCCTGGGACCATTTCCTCTCCAGGGGATGGCAACTTAGAGAGCCGGACACAGCCACTCCCGCTACCACCTCCCCTGCCACCACTCCCACCACTCCTAGCCTGTCCCACTGCTACTGTCGCCAACACTGTCACCAATCTCACCATGTCAACATCCCCACCCAAGCGGAAGCGGGGCCGACCTCCCAAGAATCCACCATCACCTCGGCCCAGCCAGCTCCCTGTCTTGGACCGTGACAGCTCTTCTGTCCTTGAGAGCTGTGGATTGGGGAGGCGGCGGCAACCCCAGGGCCAGGGGGAGAGCGAGGGTAGTTCCTCTGATGAGGACGGAAGCCGCCCCCTCACCCGCCTGGCCCGCTTGCGGCTGGAAGCGGAGGGAATGCGGGGACGAAAGAGTGAAGGGTCCATGGTGGTGGCTGTAATTCAGGATGACCTGGATTTAGCAGATAGCGGGCCAGGCGGGTTAGAATTGACACCTCCCGTGGTCTCGTTAGCTCCAAAACTGCGCTCGACCCGGCTGCGTCCAGGGTCTCTAGTCCCCCCACTAGAGACTGAGAAGGTGCCTCGCAAACGGGCAGGGGCCCCAGTTGGCGGTCCTGGGCTGGCAAAGCGGGGCCGCCTACAGCCCCCAAGTCCCCTGGGACCTGAGGGTTCAGTAGAGGAGTCTGAGGCTGAAGCCTCAGGTGAGGAGGAGGAAGGGGATGGGACCCCACGTCGCCGGCCTGGCCCCCGCCGACTTGGTGGGGCCACCAACCAAGGGGACCAGCGCATCCTGCGCAGCAGTGTCCCTCCCCACCTGGCTGGCCCTACTATTAGTCACAGAGGCCGCAAGGCCAAGACGTGAGTGGGCTGCTCCTCCACCTAGGCTTTCTGCCATGGCCCCTCTTCCTCCACAACCAGGCCTGACTCTGTTAACCACTACTTGAAGTCTTGAGGGGGAAAGCCTCCAGGGAGACATAGGGGCCTTCTCCCTTCTTTCCACCAAAGTAGGGGGTAGGCAACTGGTTGTCATGGAAATGGGGCTCTTCACATACCCCCTTCCCTTCCACCCCACATGGCTGGGCAGTGTTAAGGGTGGCAAGATAGTCTCTGTCCCCACCCCCTTGTACTTGATTCCCCAGCTATCTTTCACAGCCCCCCACCCTTAGGGGAAGGGGGAGGGGCTTCTCTCTACCATGAGTTTTTTTTTTTTCTTTTTTTTTTTAAGAAGAAAAAATAATAAACTTAGTTTCTGTATGAGCATCCGCGTAAGGAGGCTTCTGATTTTCTGGTCTGGTGGAGGGTTGGGTGGGAACTTGGGCACCATTTTCCTCTCTTGTTCTTGCCAAAACCCTAGTACCTGATCTCTAACCCAGAATTATGTGTCTTTGAGGCAGAAATCACCCAAGAGGAGGAAGATTTGGCAAATCTGATCTGGTAGGGTGCCTTTCCTTAAAATTTCAGTTTTAAGTCACTCCAACTCATAACTTTTTCTTTCCTCCTATTCCCTTAGTTCCTGGGCTTTCCCTCAGAGCTCTCTGATGCCTCAGACTTTTCCCTGCTTTTACCCCCATTGCTCAGGTGCTTTCACTCCTTTTCCAGAAGGCAGGCATCCTACCTCCAGTTGTTCCTTCCCCTCCACCCCTTTGCTTTCCTCCATCTTGCCAAACTAGTTTGAGTCAGCCACACCCCCTTCTGAGCTCCTGGGGCCTTTTTGGCCACCCAACCCCACCCCTGGGCTTGGCTTGGAGACCTGAGTCAGCTCCATCTCCACCCCAGCCAAATCAAACCTGAGGCAGGAGCCGAAACTCACAGTCCCTCGAGGCCTATAGCCAGGTAAGAGCCCCTGTTCGTTTTTACATTTTCTTTGGTCTCAACTCCCTGGACCCTCTCCTTGCATTCTCCCCCTAATGACTGTATCTGTGTTTACCTCATCAGTTCTTTCCTCATACTCACTCTCCTGCAGCCTTGTGGCAGAGATTCTTTGGGCTCTGTTTATCTTGCCTCCTTTCACTCTATCCTTTATTGCTTGTGTTCAGAGAACTGTAAATGGCTCCGTTTTGTGTAGGATGTAGGGGGATGGTTGGAGATGAGGGTGGAAAGGTGGTTTGATGCCATGGCTCAGAGGACTTGAGAAGTTAGGGAGATGAGGAATGATTAAGCAGGTTTCTGTGTGGGTTATGAGGTCATAGTGTTAATCTGAATATATTGTGTGGCCTGGGTTAAAATGGAGAGAAGAGGTGGCAGGGAGTCAGCATAGCGAAGGAGGCCCAATTTGGGGAGGTAAGGTTTTTCTGATGTTCAGCTTCCTCAACTATGAAGAGAGCTTAGATGGGTCCTTTCTCCCTCTTTTCCCCCATCCCTGTGTTTTCATCCACTGTTTTCACATGAAGTGGCTGCTCTGCTTGAAGTGGGGTACCAGGGCTTAGGGTGCCATTTTGTGACCCCTCCTTAATCTTCAAGGGCAGTTTCTGAGGGACTTCAGAGAATTTTAAGGCCCTTTGAAATACAGTTTAAAATCACTGATTTGTGTAGTCTGATTCCTAGCAGCTTTTGAGATTGTGTTTCTCCTGCTTGTCAGTGTGCACCTGTCGTTTTGTTTTTCCCTACTTGTCAAAACAGTTAAGTAATACAGATAATGCTGTGTTGGTGCCGGCTTGCCTTTAAAGACTCAGAATCTTAGGCTGAGAAAAAAGGATTCTGGCCGCACATTTCCGCTCTTTGGTCTCTGAGTCAGGAGGGGAATTCCCCAGTAAGGCAGCATTCCTGAGAGTTGGGCCAGGTCACGAGGACACATCAGAGAGGGGTGGAGTCTGACCCAGCCAGGCCGACAGCTCAGTTGTTGGGCTTACAATTACCTTGACTATCGCCCACAGGTGATGGAGGACGAGGAGAAGGCAGTGGACACCTTGGTGAGCAACATGGGAGCTGCTCATTCTCCATCCCCCATCCGCTGCTGCTGGCTCCGCCTCCGCTACTTGGCAGCTACTAGCATTATCTGTGGCTGCTCTTGCCTGGGAGTCGTGGCCCTTGTGTTTGCCATCAAGGTGAGGAATGCAATGCCTATGGGAGCAGGGGGCGGGTGTAGTTAGGCAATGATCTGTCTACACAGATCGCACGGCTACTAAGTACCTGTCAGCTTGGCTCTGGGCCTAGTGTCAGAAATAAGAATGACATGGTTCCTGCCCTCAAAGGGCCCACAGTCTGATGAAAGAGAGAACTGTGAAAATGGGTAATTAATGGAATGTAGCTCATCAGTATTGTGATGGAGGAAACACAAGGTATTCTGGAAGCTAGGGAGGATATGTATGTGTGATTACATACGTGTGTATGTAGAGTAGGTGACGGGAAAGTAACCTTAAAGGATTAATGACTAAAGGTTGAAAGGGTATTCCAGGTAAAGGGAGCAGTGTGTACAAAGGCCTGGACTATTAGTTCCGCACGACTGGACCAGTGAGGAATGGTGACAGATGAAGCCAGAGGGTCCAGGTTCCTAAGGGACTCCCAATGCTGTGCTTGAAGTTTAAACTTCACCTTGAAAGTAGTGGGGAGTACTTTCAAGAGTTTTTGCAGAGGAGAGTGACATGGTCAGGTCTGTGTTTCAGGGCCTACCTGGAGGATGGATTGGAAGTGGCAGGACTCGAGGCAGTTGAGCAGTGATTTGAGCAATCTGTAGCAGTCGGGAAGAAGCTGTGGGGTTTTTGAGAGGGCTCCACCATTTCCAAACACCAGGACTGCACATGTACCTTTGGAAAGGCCACACAGGCTAACTTAAATAGCATGCTGGAATTTTCTCAACCCTGGTTGTATTTTAACAATCAGAAACTGTATTCTTATCAGCATGAGAATTTCTAGTTTTGTCAGGTCAAAATCATAAAAAGAATCCTTAATAATCAAAGCTATGAGGCTCATTGGGCTAATGAGAAGGGGGTGTTGTTTGGCTGGACGGGAGGGAAATATTCCAAGATAGCACTCGGTTTCTTGCCAAGGATTCCAAATTCTGAATGAACGTGGGATGAGTAGAAAAGGATGGGGGATAAAAGGATTGAAAAGTACTTTCCCATATGTGATTTTGTGAGCTAACAGTGGCTACTCGGAAAAGTACACAGTGCTGAGTGGGAACCTTACTTTGCAAATGAGGCATGAGAAATAGACATTGGAAAGGGAGGGCAGGGGGGGTTGGGTGTCAGGTTTTGAGCCATGACAGGGATGGAGGATTGGTGTGGGGCAGTGGGCACTTTGGGGCAGAAGCAGGGGGAGAACCTAACCAAAAACCTGCCCCCACAGGCGGAAGAGCGGCATAAGGCAGGCCGGTTCGAGGAGGCAGTGCACTGGGGGGCCCGGGCCCGGAACTTCATCCTGGCCAGCTTTGCCGCCTGGCTTGCTGTCCTCATTCTGGGCCCCCTGCTTCTGTGGCTGCTTTCCTACGCCATCGCCCAGGCTGAGTGACCCTGGGTGGCCTCTGCTGAGAGTCAGCGAGACCTCCTGGATCCTGCAGTGCGGCATTGCTAGGGTCTGAGGCTGGCAGTGGTCCTTCCTGGCTGGAAGGATGGTGCCTCTCTCAAAGGTCTTTGGAAGAACTCTTCTAGACCTTTCTAAAAGGAGGCAGCAGCTGAAACTGTTGAAGGGAGGCCAGCCTGCTCTGTTCTTTCAGTGCCCACCATCCCCTATTTCCCCCAGCCTACTACATCCTAGGGGCCTCGACCCAGAGGTGGGGTTGAAGACCAGGCCTGATTTTATTAGAATTTGTTTTGTAATAAAAATCTTTTTTAGTGGTGAAATGTTCCTGTCTAATTGTTGTTCCCCTACTTTCCCCGGGCCCTTGGCAAGAGCCAGACTGGACATCTGACTGATGGCAAAAGTCTGCGTTTTCCCTTACTTAGGAGCTCCAAGAGGATTTTTCTTTTTTCCTTCTCCTGTAAGTTTCCCTTCTTGGAAAGACCCCAGCTTCTCCCTTGCACATCAGCAGAGAGACCCTGCGGCCAGATAGGAAGAGGAGCCGTAGCAGCTACTCTTCATGGAGTGCTTCCTGTGTCCCAGGCTGCGGTCTTAGGCGCTTTCTATTACCTAACTCCTTCAGCCCTCACAGCCACTCAGGAGGTCCCACTGTTTTCATTTTATAGTTGAGGAAGCAGGCGTCCAAGGTCATACAGCTAGTAAGAGGCAGAGCTGACATTGAACCCAGACGCTTTGGTTCCAGAGTTGAGAGAGGAATAAAAGGGTTGGATGGCAGCTGCAGTGAATTTCTGCCCTGGATATGAAGCTCTGTAGGATTATAATGAATTTTCATATCCTTTATCTTGGGCCTCCCGGTAATATTTTAAACATACTTTAAATTGTGAAGTATATCATATATACAGGAAAATGTCCAAAATGAGAACATAGCTTTTAACAAAGCTAACATCTGAAAACCACCATTCAGTCAAGAAATTGAACATTGACAGCACTCCAAAGCCTCCTTTAGACCTCTCCCAATCACTGCTCCTTCCTTTCTTCACACAGATACCTAGCATTCTGACTTCTAACAATGGAGTTTAGTTTTGCCTGCATTGGAACATTTATATAAATGGAATCCTATGTATTCTTTTTATGTCAGGTTTCTTTTACTTAACATTGTTGGTGAGATTCATCAATATTTGGTGTAGCTGTAGTTGTCATTACTCTGTAGTATTCCATTATATGAATATATTAACAATTCATCCCTTTTCTGTTGGTGGACTTTGGGATGATTCCATTTTGGGGATATTATGAATCTTGCTGCTATGGACATTCTTGTACATGGCTCTTGGAGTACATGTGCTCTGGGAATTGAATTTTTGGGTTACTTCACCATAATTCAGAGACAGCAGAGCACCTAAAGGAATTCGAGATATTTGTTGCACTCTGAAGAGAGAAGATTAAAGGGGAAGATGGTTGTCTTCCATGTTCCAAAGTGCCCCAGGAAGGAAAAGTGAAGAGTATCCATTGCTGGTCTCAGAGGTTAGAGTTACAACACTGGTTAGAAGCCACACCTAGGGCATTGGTTCTCAAGCTCAGTTTCACCATAGAACCACTTGGGGAGCTTTAAAAGGTACTTATGGGGGCGCCTGGATGGCTCAGTTGTTAAGCGTCTGCCTTTGGCTCAGGTTATGATCCCAGAGTCCTGGGATCGAGCCCCACATCAGGCTCCCTGCTCAGCGGGAAGCCTGTTTCTCCCTCTCCCACTTCCCCTGCTGTGTTCCCTTTCTCTCTGTCAAATGAAGTCTTTAAAAAAAATAAATAAAATAAAAAAATAAAAAGTACTTAGGCCTGGGCTTCAGCCCTACAGATTCCGATTTAATTGGTGTAAAGTGCTGCCTGCCTGGGCATCAGGGAAACATTTTAGAGAATTTTTTTTTACAGAAACCTTTTTTTAAAGCTAGTATTTCAATAATCAGCAGCTTTAGGTTACTAGAGGAGACTAGATCCCATTCCCCCAAAGTGATTAAATGAGGTCTTGCTACTTTTTTTTTTTGGGTCTCACTTTTTAAAAAATATTTGTCAGAAAGGGAAAGAGAGCACAAGCAGGGGGAACAGCAGGCAGAGGGAGAAGCAGATTCCCCGCTGAGCAGGGAGCCCCATGTGGGACTCGATCCCAGGACCCCGGGATCATGACCTGAGCCGAAGGCAGGCACTTAACCAACTGAGTCACGCAGACGACCTGGGTCTCACTATTTTTAAACTCAATTTTGAAAAAATTTCAAACCTACTGAACAATAAGAGAATGGTACAATGAACTCATGTGTGCTCTTCACCTAAGTTTATAATTTTTAACATTTCACCACATTGGTTTTACATCTAGAATATACATACTGGTATTGCAGAGCCATTTGAGAGTAAGCGGAAAGTCCTTCGTTCCTAAATTCTTATTTACAATTTTTAGTGTCAATATGGTCTCAGATTGTTTTTTAGTTCAATTTGTTTTATCCATTACTGTCATCCGTCTTAAAATATTTGGTTGAGGTGTAATTTACATGAAGTGCACAGATCTAAAGCGTGTGGGTTGGTGAATGTTTAGTATGATCCCAACTGTATAATCACCACCTAGGTGAATAGAACATTTCTAGCACATCAGAAGGTTCCCTCATGTCCCTCTCAGTCTCATTATTCTTTTTGTTCCTGATTTTGACCTGTGGAAATTGCATCAACCTGGTTCTTGTGTCCTGATAAGTCCCCACACTTCTTCACTTGCTTTCTGGCACAAATTATTCCAGGCTCATCTTAGACTTTCTCTGCTCCAGCCTGGGAAACTGGCCATTTCTCCCAAAGAGTCCTGGTTCCTTGAACTGGGGACTGTTACTTTGAAATCAGTATCTAGACTAGCTGTGCTCATTCTCCTGAGATGTTCCTGCTTCTAGGCCCTTTCAGAGGTTAGAGCTAGAAAATATCTAATCTATTTTAAATCTGTGTTTAAAATCATACCTCCAGTTTCAGTCAGTCATAAGGTTCTTTCTCTCCCCACCTCAAATTCCATAGTCCCACAGTAATAACCTTGGCTGCCAAATACATCAAATGTTTATTCATTTACAAATATATATAAATATATATATTGCTCAATTTCTGAATAATTATCCCATTATACTACCAAACGATAAAGTAAAGTTAAACGTTTCTTTGCAATTATTTTGTCTTTAGATTGATGGTATAAAGTCAAAATACTCTGTTGGATTCGTTTTTCTTTTATGATTGTGATCCCAAAGTGACATTTCTAAGATAGTTGTTAGAAGGTTAAATGAATTCATTCTGTGCCTCTTTTGCTGGAACATAACTTCCACAAGGGTAAGGACTCCCCTCGCCCCCCTGCTGATAGTTTAGCGTTTAGACGCTCGGCAAATATTTATTTGAATGAGTAGGTGAATGCCAGGGTTGAGCTGTGCACTGAAAAGGCTTATTAAGTAAGTCGCCTCTGGCAATATCTCACAACTCGGCAGGCTTAGAGCGTGATACTCCCCAAGGCTTACGGGAGGCGGTGGTGGAAGACTGGGAAAATATATAACCCTAGATGGTGAGCACGAGGGCTTTGGAGGTATTCAAGAATCGGAGCAGCCAGAGGACTAAGAAGCCACTTCTGGTTGACCGACCGTGGTTCGTCTAAGTCCACACCAGCAGGCAAGTTGCGGTCCAAGCTGCGCGCTCCGAGCGTTTTAAGAGCTGAAGGCGGCCCCTCAAAGCACGCACTTTGGACCAGGCTGCCAATTTTAAAAAGAGCGGATTTGGACAGTGATGCTAGGAGGGGAATGAGGGAACCATGCCCAAGTCAGGGAACCGGAGGCGCAGCCAGTCCCGCGTCCTAGATACCTAGAAGCCACGCTTCTGGGTAAACCTAACTTCCGGGTACCGTTCCTGGCCTCCAAGCCCACTAGTCAACAAGCTCCGCCCCTGCCGTCATCTGCAGATGCTTGCGCTAATTGGCTGCTTCTGAAGTCCCGCCCCAGCGTCTCAGCCTTAGGTAACTCCGAGCTCCAACGCCCGCGCCAGCCTCGGGACTCTCCGCTTCCTATTGGACTACCAATTTCCAATCGGAAGGGTTTTTGAACCTCAGTCTTCACGCGGCGCTGGCCATTGGCGGACAGGATGGGGGCGGGGCCTGGGGTCGTTGCCGGCGCCGCCCGGGTGTAAGGTAAGGAGCTAGAGGCGAACCCCGCGACACAGCGGCCTCGCGTCGACCCTGGCTTCTCTCTCCTCCCCCGCGGGTGAGCCTGCGCGAGACCCCGCGCCCCCTCCCAGCGCCCGCCCAAGTGCGCCTGCGCAGCAACAGCCACCGGCCAGTGTGCCCCTTCCCTTCTTCCTCCGCACCTTTTCCCTTCCCCTCCCCCGCCCCCTCCCTGCCCTGACACCCTTCACGCCCCCTAGGCCCTTTCATAGGGTCTCCCCAGCCCTGATCCTTCCCCCACCCCGTCCCCATCCCCGAGGATCCTGGCGCCCCAGCCGCAAGGGCTGCGCCTCCGCGAGCCGCAATGTGCGTCCTCCCAGAGCCTGTGGGCCTCACTGCCCTCACTGCCCTCCGTTTCCTCTGCACAGGCCCCCACCACCTTCAGAATGACGCTGGACGTGGGGCCGGAGGATGAGCTGCCCGACTGGGCCGCGGCCAAGGAGTTTTACCAGAAGTACGACCCTAAGGACGTCATTGGCAGGTGAGGCTTAAGCCAGGGAAACAGGTCCAGAGAGGTCGGGCCCTAGCCAGAATACAGTGTTCCATCTGAGGGCTGGATAGTTCTAAATGGGAACGAACAGTGGTTAGTGGAGGAACATTTGGTGACTAAACTCTTTCTCTGGGTCAATCCCCATTTCTTCCAAATTCACTCATTTATGTGTTCAACAAACATAGTTAAAGCAACTATGGTCTGCCAGACACAAAGCTAAACACAGGGAGGGTAGAAGAGATGTTTATGCCTTGGAGGTGAAGTGACTGAAAGAGACACATGAGCATTCAAGTAGTATCAGGTTGTGGCATGGGGTTCAGAAAGCCACAGCTTTCCACAAGGGGTGATATTTGGGTCTTGAAGGATGAGTAGGAGTTCAGCATGCAGAGAATGGAAGGAAGACCTCACCTGTAGAGACAGAGGCAGGCACACTTATTCATCCAAGGTTTCCTAAGCACATAGAGTGTGCTGGGTGCAATGTGCAAGGCACTGGGGATACACGCCCCACATGTTTTCTGTTCTCCTAGAGTTTGTATTCCAGTGGTAGAGACAGATGATAAAACACAAAAACAAGATAAAGGTCATCATCTGCTTGGGTGAGGGAATGAGAGTAATTAACGGGACTGAGACTTGAAGGATGGGAATGAACAAGATATATTTGGGGCAGAGGGAACAGCACATGCAAAGGCACAGGCAAGAAAGGGCCTATTCAAGTAATAGGCAGATGATCATGGTGACTAGAACGTAGTAAGCGTGGGACAAGGTGGAGGAAATTAAGTTGGAGAGGTAAATAGAGGTTAGAGTATGTAGGGCCTTATGCCATGATAAAGAATTTCGATTTTATTCTAGTGAAACTGGTGGTTTAAAACAGGGCAGTTAACATGGTCTCATTTATATTTCTGTAATTTGGGGGCTAGGAACTTAGCCTTTCTATGCCCCAGTTTCACCATTTAGATTGGGAATAAAAATAGACCCTATCTTGTAGGTTGCTGTGAGGATGGGAAGAATTAGTATGATAGTCTTAGAACACCTCCTGGCACATGGTAAGTGGTCAACACAAGTGTGTTACTACGTTTTTTTTTTTTAAGATTTTATTTATTTATTTATTTGAGAGAGAGAGAATGAGAGACAGAGAGCACAAGAGGGAAGAGGGTCAGAGGGAGAAGCAGACCCCCCGCTGAGCAGGGAGCCCGATGCGGGACTCAATCCCGGGACTCCAGGATCATGACCTGAGCCGAAGGCAGTCGCTTAACCAACTGAGCCACCCAGGCGCCCCCCCCCTTTTTTTTTTAAAGATTTTATTTATGTGTGTTACTACATTTTAAAAAGATCACTCTGGCTCTTGTGTAGAGAATGGATAGGAGGGGAACAAGAATGGATGTGTAGAGACCAGTTAGGAAGCTGTTGATTGATTCAGGCAAGAGATGGTGATGGTTTAGGTTTGAATGGTGGTGGTAGAGATGGGGAGAAGTGGATAGATTGAGGTGATGATTTGAAGAGAGACTGATACAGATTTCCTCAGAGACCGGATATGGGCCATAAGAAGAAGGGAAGGAAACAAGAATAATGTCTAAGGTTTGGGTTTGAGCACCTGAGTACCATTTTCTGAAATGAAGATGGCCAAGGAGGATTGGACTGCCAGGAGGGCCAAGCAAGTCAAGAGTTCAATTTTGGAGATGTGAACTTTGAGATCTCCAACTGGAGCTGCCAAGTAGGTACATGTGTCTGCAGCTTGAGAGAGAGCTGGACTAGAGCAATAAATTTGGGAGGCATTAGCATATACGTAGTAGCTGGTGAGAAGATACATGGGGAGAGGTGAAAGGGGTCAAGCTCAGGCCCTGGGGCATGTCACCATTAGGGGGTTAGAAAAGGAGGAGTCAGCAAGGGAGACTAAGGAGAGAGCATCTGTGAGTTAGAAATAAAAACACAAAAAGAATGTGCTTCTAGAAGGTTGGCGTGGTCTGCTGTGATCAGTACTGCTGAGGCCAGGAAAGCAGAAAGGGCTATAACTATTAGATTTGTTCAGACTCCTTTCAGATATCACATGGAGATATTAAAAAGGCCTTTGGGATCAGGAATTCTGGAAAGGAACCAAGGTTTGAGGCAGTGCGGTGGGAGCCGTTTGTACAAATGGTACTTAAATGCCCCGGGACTGGATGGAGGTCATCAGGGAGAAAGAGTATCTGGAAAAGAAGAGAGCTGAGATCCAAGTCCTAAGCTGATGCAGGGTTTCAGGACCAGGTGAGGCTAGGAGAGCCCTTAGGGCAGAACAGTGGTTCCACTTCCAAGGGGCGCAGAAAGATCAGTTTTGGAGAAAGCAGATCAGGGGATAGGATCCTTTATCATATCATTCCAGCATTACTGTAATAGCATCATCCCTGGTCTCTATCTTTTCCCTGTGTTTCTCCTGCACAGTAAGTTACCTGCCCACTCTCACTAAATTAGTTCCCAGAGTACCAGTTTCTTTACGTATAAAGGTCTGAAGCCTTAAAAGAGCTTGCTGCATTCTAGAAATTGGTGATAAGTTATAAGTCACTGAAGCAAAGATTGAATAGCAGGACATAGCCAAAAATGAGGCTGAAAAGAAACCAAGACCATTTGGTAAAGGCCTTGAATGACAGGTGAAGGAACTGGGATTTGACTTCTATCTTACAAGGGAATAAGGAGACAGTATGGATAGAAACCAGTTTTGAGTGCCCTCCATAGTTAATAACTATATAAGGTTGAAATTATTAGGTCTCACTTAAAAAGAGCACAGTTGCTCTAAGGGTCCTGCTGAGGAATGAGGGAACACTTAGAACTTAGTAGGGAATTTAAGCTGGAATGTTTTTAAGCAAGAAATGACATAATTGGGGCGGTCATAAGCTCATTCTGGAAGCAGTGCGGCGGATGGGTTGCGGTGGCTGAGGGTGGCAGCAGGGAGATCAGTGGGGAGGCAGTTATGGCTATGGGGGTGGAGTACTAGGAAACAGATTTGAGAAACAGAATGGAGTGGACTGGTTGGATGTGGTGGATTTTGAAGGAGAGGGAAAAGCCAAGAATCATACCAAGATTTCTAGTTTGGGAGTCTGATCGAATGGTATTACCGTTAATGGAGATCAGGGAATTAAAACTGTGTAGTGGCCAAGAATAAGACAGTAGGAAGTGGTGAGCATTGTAGCAGCTGCAAGTTCTTGTCCCACTTAAGGTAGGAATTCAGAGGGGCGCTTGGGTGGCTCAGTCATGCCTTCGGCTCAGGTCATGATCCCAGGGTCCTGGGATCGAGCCCTGCATCCGGCTCTCTGCTCCGCGGGAAGCCTGCTTCTCCCTCTCCCACTCCCCCTTGCTTGTGTTCCCTCTCTTGCTGTGTGTCTCTCTGTCAAATAAGTAAATAAAATCTTAAAAAAAAAAAAAAAGATAGGAATTCAGATTTGAAAAGAACAACTCACTGACCAAACAGACACATCTGTGGGCTGTGTTTGGCTGGAGGGTCAGTGGTTTACATCTCTTGATGGAACCAGAGATGTGGGTGATAGACATTCTAAGCAAAGGGAGTTATGTAAGGGCAAGGAAGCCGTGAAGGGCAGCCAGGGAACCAGCACAGGAAATGTGGCGTGAGATCCGATCTTGGGAGAGATTTGTACTTAGCCTGAGGTACTTGTAGGGTCATAAGGAATTGGTGACAGATTCCAAGCAAGGAAATACCTGTCTAGGACTTTCTCTTCACCATGCCAAATGGACTTTTCTGCCTCTACCTCATGTCTTTCGACGTCTCTTCAAGATGTTGTCGTCCACATTTCAGAGCCGACAAAGCAAAGTCCAGAGACCTTGTATCAGCGGGTCCCTTGGAGGTTAATTAGCGGCACATATGGGGCCTACACCAAGGTCTCCTGGTTCACAGCTTTGGTCTTCCAGGCAATGGTCTGATATTTATTTGGAGCCTGCTACACTTGAGGTATTGTAGGAGAACTTTGGGATTTGGAAGGGGTAATCAGGGAAGTGTTGAGCACAATTTGGAGGGAGCCTTAGATCATTTCTTCCTGCTTTCTCCTTTTGGGGTTCCAGGAGGAGGGGCAGGTTCTGGGGCTCAGTGTGGAAAGGACCTGCCTAGGCTTCTCCATGCAGAGAATGGCAGAGATTGGATTCAAACCCAGGAACCCCCTGCCTTCCCTGTGAGCTTTGTGTTACACCTTGCTGGGTACCCAGGTTGCTTGCTGAGGCTACCATGAAGCTACTGTAGGCCAGGGTGAGCCCTGGGAGGCTGCCTTGTTGTTCAGATGGGTCTTCAGAATATGGTGCAGTGGGTATGAGAATGGCAGGGCTCCATTCTGTGTGGAAATGAGAGAGCAGGAGGCCCTGACTCGTGTGCGGTCTGACTCTGGCAGAGGAGTGAGCTCCGTGGTACGCCGTTGTGTTCATCGAGCTACTGGCCATGAGTTTGCGGTGAAGATCATGGAGGTGACAGCTGAGCGACTGAGTCCTGAACAGCTAGAGGAGGTGCGAGAAGCCACGCGGCGAGAGACGCACATCCTTCGCCAGGTCGCCGGCCACCCCCACATCAGTGAGGCTGCATTCCCTGCTCCTGTTAGCTGACAGCCACCTCCTGCTGGCCCTGCCCACAGCCCAGTTCCCCCAACACTGCCTCCATGCCTCTGCTCCCTTTGTCATGGCTCCACTCCACCTCAAAGTGTGGCCAGCCTTTGGGTCCCTACTGCCTCCTTTTGGTTCTCCTTCCTTCCCAGTAACAGCCCACTGCCACCTCGGGGTGGAAAGCCCCTTTAACATGCATCCGCTCCTTTCCATCTCTGTATCTCTGCCTTTCTGCCTCTTTCCCAGTCACTCTCATCGATTCCTACGAGTCTTCTAGCTTCATGTTCCTGGTGTTTGACCTGTGAGTATCTCCCTGCCCTGATCTGAGAAGCCTCCTCCTCCTCCCCTCCGTGAGTGGCCCCAGCCTGACAGCACAGTGGGCTAAGACTACCCTGCTCACACCTTCCTGTGTGCCCGAGGCTCAGGCCCCTCTCCCTGGGTGCCCTGATGAGGCAAGTTCTTCCAGAGTGTTCATGACCAGCCAATTAAAAAGGGTTTTCATGACCCTCGGGGTCACTGTCCCAGTCCCCCATGGTTATAAGTTTAGGAGGGAATAGTGAAGAGCTGACCACTTATCAACAGAATCTCGCTCCCTTGTCTCTTGCTGTTTAACACCCTACGTGGTGTTTGTCTCTGCCCATCAGTTCATTTCCTGGGTAGTCTGAATCCGAGTGTGAGATGTTCTACAATATAACGTAAATCAGTGCAAAGGTACTTCAAAAGAGAATGGTTTGAATAGCAAATATTTAAGAGACCCCTAGAAAAATTTCACAAAGTCTGCATACAGAATGACCCTCTGCAAAAGTTGGGGGTGGGGGTAGGAAGTGTCTGTCATGTCATCATGCAGCTTTGCAGAACAATTATATGCCCCCAAACAACACCTGCTTTCAAGGATTGTAGAGTTGCAATTATAAACTCAGTTTTTAAAGACAAAATAAAAATAAAGTCCTATTCAACTTTTTTTGCTGTTATTAACTGTGAAATTTTGGTCCATGGTCTAAATAGATTCACTTTAAAAGGCCCTCTTTGAATATAATTAGTCTCAGATAATGAGGACCTCTTATAAATTATTGTTCCAAGAAGGCACATATTTTGCTAACATAGCACCCTCCTAGCAGAGTGCCTATATTTTGACTGCCAACCCCCTGGGCCAAACTGCCCCTGGCATCCAGTTCACTCTTGGGGCACTCTAATCGCTCAAGAAAAAACAAAGAGGACTCTCTCTTCACCGGTCTCTTCCATGGTATTTTCTGTGAGCACTGGCTTATTTTCTCAGCCCCCATGTAAGGTACACCTACCTCCCAACCCCTCCTATCCCTTAGGATGCGGAAGGGAGAGCTGTTTGACTATCTCACAGAGAAGGTGGCCCTCTCAGAAAAGGAAACCAGGTAACGACGGAGCCTGCAGCCCGTGGGGTGATGAGGGGGCGGGGCGGGGTAGGGAGAAGCAAAGGAGGAGACTGCGCCTCCCCCAGGTCCATCATGAGGTCTCTGCTGGAAGCAGTGAGCTTTCTCCATGCCAACAACATTGTTCACCGAGACCTGAAGCCCGAGAATATTCTCCTAGATGACAATATGCAGATCCGACTTTCAGACTTTGGGTTCTCCTGCCACTTGGAACCTGGCGAGAAGCTTCGAGGTGAGGGGGCTTGGTGCCCTAAGAGGCTTGGGAGGGAAGGAGACCCAGGCCTGAGGCTGGTTAGCTGGGTCTGACAATCAAGTACCCAGGTACCAAGAAAAGGGGAGAAGTCAGTGAGCACTTGCCAGGTACCCTCTGGGTGCAAAGCCTCGTGTGCGTCTCAGAGTGGGCTTCCTGGTCTGGGCGGGGGAGGGGATAGAGGAAAGTGCGCAGGTCGTGGCACACAGCAGGCAGGGGACCATGCAAGGGGAAGCCAGGAGGGAGGAGCACCTGCTTCAGCTGGAGGGCCCCACAGGGGACGGGGCTCCAGAGCTGGGCCTGTCCCCTGAGGAAGATGGGGGAGAGGGGATAACAGGCCTCAGCTGTGTGCTTGGGTTTCGGTGCAGACAGGACTGCAGTGTGCTGCTTAGGTGCTAGGAAGAGCCCGCCGCGGCCAGACGGCGGTGCCCAGCTGCCGCACCCAGTGTGAATCCATTTGTTGTGACAGAAATACTTTCAGTGCACATGGAAAACTTCACAAAGTTTGTGGACTCCTCAGAGCTGTTAACATCCTACTTTCTCTCCCTCAGCGGCTTTGCGTTGTGCTATTAACAGCTAACGTTCACTGGCACCACACTAAGTCTTTATACAGCTGGGTTCTCGACAACTCTTTGAGATAGCGTCTGGATCACCATTTTATAAATGGGCTTAAAGAGATAAGGGGACTTGCCCACAGTCAGGTAGCTGGGACTCGAGCTCATGTTCGTAACCTATGGACTTAACACGTTTGTCTTGCGGATGCTGTGCTTTGTTTCCCTTTGGGCTTCCCCCTACACTTCTCCCCATTCTGGAACCATCTTTGCCCCTGCCCCACACCACCCTTGCCCTTGGCTTTAGGAATTCAGGTTTCCCTTTAAAGCTCCAGGTTGGGTTAGATCCCGTGCTTTCTCTTCTTGTATCTTCTCCCTTCAGGACACACCTTTTACTCTATGATTTCTTGTTTGCTTTCGGGTAGACAGCGTGGTAAGGGCACATCTAATTCACTGGCATCTAGTATGGTGCCTGCTACGTGGTGGGCATTCTTAAATACTTTTTATAGAAATGAATTTCCCGGGAGAGTCAGGCCTATTAAGGCCTATTAAGATTTCCTGGAAGTATGCCACAGTTCGGCAATTGCCGGGATGGAAGAATTGGTGCCTGAAGTGGTAGAAGCAGCTACAAATAACATGCTCGGATCAAGTCATGGAGGGCTCTGTGCTGCAGGAGCTAGACTTGAGCCTGAGGCTATATGGGGGGGAGGCGGGGTCGGCAGCCAGGGAAAGGTTTTAAATAAGGGACTTACCTAGTGTGTGCCTTAAGAAATCCCATATTCCCACTCATTCTCCTTGGGTTTGAGTGGTGATTCCACTACACAGAATAGCAATCATAGGAGGAGGAATCGATTTGGGCAGAAAGAAACAGAAAAGAGTGAAGATTTGTTTTCCGTGTGTATTATGTACGTAAAAATGTGACAAAAGGTTGTGTAAGGAGTGGGTGGGTGGGTTGGAGGTGGCAAAAGATACGGTGGGGTAGGACCTTGAAGTCAATCTCAAAATCAGGTTTTCCCAGGAAGGCCGCTGGGAACCTTGGGGCATACTTGAGTTGTTCAGCAGGGATAGGGGCTAGGTCAGCCCTTAGGGGAGGACGGGCAGGAACAGAATGGGAACACTTAATGGCTCTAGCAGGGTTGAGGCTCCAGCAGAGGTCTGGAGTTAGTTAGCTGGTGGCATCCATCAATCTCAGCCCTCTCTCCCCAGAGTTGTGTGGGACCCCAGGGTACCTAGCACCAGAGATCCTTAAATGCTCCATGGATGAAACCCACCCCGGCTACGGCAAGGAGGTCGACCTGTGAGTTTCTGGTCTCCCTACTTCCTTCCTCCTTTGTGTCCCATCTTTCAACACGTCTGCCTGGCACCTAGTCCTGTCTGACTCCGCTCTCTTTCCCAGCTGGGCCTGTGGGGTGATTTTGTTTACACTCCTGGCTGGCTCACCACCATTCTGGCACCGACGCCAGATCCTGATGTTACGCATGATCATGGAGGGCCAGTACCAGTTTAGTTCGCCCGAGTGGGATGACCGTTCCAACACCGTCAAAGACCTGGTGAGCTGGGGCCATGAGAGGGCTAGGAAGGAGGTCCAAGAGCTGCCTCTCATACTCTGGGGTTTCCCCCAGATCTCAAAGCTGCTCCAGGTGGATCCTGAGGAGCGCCTGACAGCTGAGCAAGCCCTCCAGCACCCCTTCTTTGAGCGCTGTGAAGGCAGCCAACCCTGGAACCTCACCCCCCGCCAGCGGTTCCGGGTAAGCCTGAGAGCATCAGGGTCTGGGCCTGCTCCTCTGTCCCGTAATCTTTCTCCTGTGGTGGCTGCTCTACTGGAGCTCACACTGCCCGCCACCCCCCCCCTCAGGTGGCAGTGTGGACCGTGCTTGCTGCTGGACGAGTGGCCTTAAGCACCCAGCGTGTCCGGCCACTGACCAAGAGCGCACTGCTGAGGGACCCTTACGCGCTGCGGCCAGTGCGGCGCCTCATCGACAGCTGCGCCTTCCGGCTCTATGGGCACTGGGTGAAGAAAGGTGAGCAACAGAACCGAGCCGCCCTCTTCCAGCACCAGCCCCCTGGGCCTTTTCCCATCCTGGGCCCTGAAGAGGAGGGGGAACCAGCTGCTATCACCGAGGAGGACGCCATGCTGGCACTGGGCTAGCACTTCGGCCCTGGGGAACCCCACAGTGCAGGACTCTCCAGGAGGAGGATTTTTATCATTCCAGCCCTTCTGGGCTTTGGCCTCAGGCCCCCCCAGCCTGGCCAGGCCCACCACTGCTCATACTACCATAACGACCAGCCGTGTACACCTGTCCCCACCAGCCAAGACTTTGGGATCAGAGCTGAGGGGGAAGGCAGCCACGCGCAACAGCATGCCTGGCCTTGTCAATGCTGCCTCTGCTGCATTTGCAATAAAATCTGCACTCCGGAGGGAGCCAGTGCCTGGAGTGTGGTGTCCGGCTTTGGCAGGGGAGCCCAGAAGGTGCTCGGGGGGGGGATGGGGCTGCCCTGCCCCGGGCCTTTATTGGGGAAAATGCTGGGGGTCACTTGGTCTTGTTCTTGCCTTTGCCAGAAGGTAGCTGGAAGGGCTGCTCTAGTGTGGTCAACTTGCTGCTGAGCCTTTCTTCGCTGGCCTGGAGCCGCTCCTCCATCAGCTGTTGGAGCTGCCTCAGCTCCTTGTTCATCTGGGTCCTGATGTAGGCTTGCAGGATGGAGACCTGGCCTGCCGGGGGCAGGGAACAAGGGGCAGGTGAGCAGAGATGCTGTGGGGCTACACAAGTGGCAGGGTAGCTTCAGTTCAGGAAAGGCCAGCTAACGCTTCTATGGAGAGAGGCGGGGGGGTGGGGGGGGTGGACTGGCCAGGCTGGACTCTCTGGGTTGCTGATCAGCAGATAAGTGACTTTACACAGGTGATTTCATCTTTGCATACCTCGGTTTCCTCCTGTGTACAGTGTAGATAGTGATAGCACCTAGTGCCTAGGCCTGAAGGAAGATTAAATGTAAAATGCTTAAAACAGGGCCTGCCTGGCACCACGGTATTGCCAAATGTGCACTGGCTGTTACTGGTTTTTAAAATTTTTTAAAAGATTATTAGAGAGAGTGTGTGCACGTATGTATGAGCAGGAGGGACAGAGGAGAGGGTGGGAGAATCTCAAGCAGACTCCGTGAGCTGTGAGCTGAAACCAAGAATCGGCTGCTTAACCCACTGCGCCACCCAGGTGCCCCCGTCATTGGTTTTATAATGATCCTTTCCTGGAGCTCCTGCTTCACCCCCAGCAGCTGCACTCTTATTACCTGTTTGTCACCTTGGACTTCTGCATAAGGAATCATTTGGAGAAAGGACACTGTGCCTAGAACAGACCTGAAGTCCTGATGTGGTCTAAACCCTTCATTTTATGCCTGCTCCAAGTCACGGGGGACCCTAACCCATCCTCACTTGGCTCTGGCTCTGGCTCTGGCTCTGGCTCTGGCAGGACCACTGTTTCTGGTTCCTCCTGCGGGGTGACTGCCTGTTCCTTCGCCTCCTCGCCGCCTTTCTCTGCAGGCCAGAAGCAGGAAGAGGCTTCAGCCCCAGCCCCAGCCCCGGCCCCGGCCCCGGCCCCAGCATTCTCCCTTACCTGTCTCATCTTCTGGCCAGAGCTTGGGTGGCTGTAGCCCCATGTAAGTCAAAGATAGATCCAGCCGCACCTGGGAAGAGGGAGGAGGAGAGAGGCTAAGAGGAGGACATCTGCACTGAGTGAAAGGGGGAGATGAAGAGTGGCTTCCGTACCTGGGGTGTGAAGACATATTTGTAGAGCTTGAAGTGGCGGAAGTAGGTGTTGACCACATAATCTGCCAGGGCCAGCAGCTGTTCCTCCCTAAAGAGGTTGATACTGAAGGGGGGCCGCTGTGGGGATGAGTGGGAGTGAGAGGACTGACCACCTCCAGGAACCCTGACCTTTTCTCCAAGTGCCCAGCCATTTAGGAGCAGGGAGTACCCCCTGCAGCCTTCAGAAGAAGATGAGGGTGATGAGTATGAGAGAGGACAGGAGACTGGGCTAGACCTTATCTGTGGGAGACTGAAGATCCCATTTCAGGGGAACTGACCTTGACTCCATGGCAAAAAAGGACACTGGTGAAGTAGCGGTAACATTCCTCCACGTTGCCCAAGGGGGTTGCTGGGAGGGAAAGCAAGATGTGACAAGTGAGTCCCCTCCCAGATAATCATTCATTTCACTCACTCACCAGCTACTTACTGAGCATGAGCTTTGGAAATTAACAGATCTAAGTTTAAGTCCTTACTTGTTTCATTAACTCACTCAACAGATAGTACTGCAATGCACTGTTCCAGGCACTGAACAAGACAGACAAGGTCCTGCCCTTAAGTGACATACAATAAAACAAGAAATATGTGATTTCAGCTCTTGTTAAACATTCTGCAGGAAATCAGTTCCAGGAATGAAGTGGGAGGTGGAGGAGGAGCGATTTCATTGAGCACTGTCTTTATATTTACGTATATTACCTACAGGATTCCTCAGAACAATCTCATAAAGTTGGTGCTGTCACCACACAAGTTGTCACACACAAGTTACTGTGGGTGTCATTACAATAGTGCTTGTAATGACAGAACAAAGATTCCAGGTGGTAATCCATTACTTGCTTCCTGGGGTCACTTGTGCCATCCCAGCCTCCACTGTCCCCTGGGCTCAAACCCTTTGGTAGCCGCCGCCTCTCACCAACACAGGCCTTGTGAAGATCTTGGAGCAGGGCACAAGCTGCCGATGTCTGTTCCAGTGAGAAGCCATGCTGGCGGCAGAAGAGGAGTGCGTGGGAGAAGAGGTCCAGGGTGATGGCATCCCGCAGGCTTTGCTCAGGACAGCTTAGCCCCAGAAGCTCAGCTAGCACCCTTGGGAGGGACACAGGAAGGCAGGCCTGAGCCAGCCCCCCTTTACCACCCCACACTGGTGCACCACATGCTCTGGAGCCGGGCATTCCTTCCTTCCCCGCCCAGCCCCCTTAGTCTTCCCCAGGAGCCAGCTCTTCTGCTCTTCCCTGTCCCCCCCCCATACTCCCTCATCTCCTCAGTGTTGGCTGTCTTCTCCAGCCTGTGCATGGAATGGATGTCCAGATACTTCCTGTCATAAGAAAAGAGGAGAAAAGGTGTTGGTGGCCATCAGGCATTAGTCTCATGAGAAGGCTGTGATGGCTAGAGCACCGGACTGGGAACCAGGAGACCTGAGTTTGAGGGTTAGCCCTTCCACTACCTTCTCTGGGCAAGTCACTTCCTCTCTGGGTGTAACTTTCTCCATCTTTAAATAAGGGATATGGCTTAAAGGAACTCTCACAATCCTCTTCATTTATAAAGCTGAGGATTAGGAAACTTGAGTTCTTGTCTCTGCCACTCCCCATGTGGCTTCAGTGTCTCCGTTTATACAGTGCTCCATAGCAGTCGATATTGCATTTACATTCTTAGTCTTCTTCCCACCCTCCCTCTTTGGACTGGGGAGGCAGGAAACCCCAAGATTCTTCACACTCACCACACGCAGATCCGGGGCTGGGGCAACGGGGGCTGCGGAGAGAAAACGGAATGGGCAGGCGGAGCTGTGCCATCCCTGGCCCCAGTCCCTGACCCATCCGGAATCTCCAGCTGGCCTGAGAACCCGCTAACTTGCCTTGTCGTTTTAAGGATTATGTACGAGCAACACTGGCAGGCTAGGCTTCAATAGGCCCTAAGTACTATTCATGAGCATTTAACAATCGGAGTCACACACCCCTGCCTCTTCACCAAGGCACCCAGGGAATGTCTTGAACGTTAATAAACATAACGACGGGTGACGCCCTGCCGGGGAGCCCCTTTATAAACAGTCATGAGTGGACCACTCTGTCCCGCCCTCACCGGGAACAGGTTGGCTGCAGGATCTTCATCCGCTTCTATCGAGGCCGCGGTTCTGGACTCGGTCCGCACACCTGTTACCATCCGCGTGACGGACCCATCCACTGAGCTAAGGTCCTTCTGGTGTTCCCGCTGCAGTTCTGAGGGCTGTTCAAGCTCCGACTGTAACTTCAGTGCCATGAATTGGCTGGACTTCTGGCGGATCATCTCGTCGCTCTTCCTAGCCGCGGCTCACCACAGGCTGTGCCCCTCCTGGGTCCTGGGAATGCCGGTTCTTGGGCCTCGACTGTCAAGCCCTCCCTCCAGCGACGCTTCAGCCAATCTACGCCGCAGAGAGGCCTCGTGCAGCCAATCCGCGGGGGGCGTCTCCCTCTGTCTCAACGGCGACCGTTGCTAAGGGAGCTCGTGGAGGGCGGGAACAAATGTAGGACGCTCGCCAATCAGTGAGAAGAGAATGCGCATGCGCAGTAAGCTTCAAGTACCGCCCCCGTGCCGTCGTTTCAGAGTGGCTAACAGGAGGCAGACGATTCCCTCAGGGCTGGAGGATGTGAGTGTAGTGTCAGTTGCCACGGGAACTGTCTGCTGGCCAATCACCAGAGAAAGAGGTGGTGTTCAGGAAGAAACCAAACGGGGCCCGAGAGGCGGGACAAAGCGCGACCAATAGAAATAGGAAATGAAATTTCGCCACATCCGGCGTTGCTTGCGGCGCTTGCGCTCTGGGCTGAGGAGGCCGGTGACGTCCGGTGAAGGCCAAGATGGCGCTAGGCTGAGCCTGCTGCCGCGGAGGGGCCGGGGGCAGGCGGGGTCGGAATCCAGCAGGTGTGTGCGGGGAAGGCTTGGGGCTGCGGAGCGCTGGCCACATCCACATCTCTGCTCTCTGTCTTCTGCAGGTGACGGAAGTGCCGCTTACGCCTGCCTGACGTCTCTCGGGAGACCCTGCGCCGCTCCTCGCAGCCGCGGCCATGTCTGGACCCGGCAACAAACGCGCCGCCGGCGACGGTGGCTCAGGGCCCCCAGAGAAGAAGCTGAGCCGCGAGGAGAAGACCACGACCACGCTTATAGAGCCCATTCGTCTTGGGGGCATCTCTTCCACGGTTCGTGGGCTCCTGCCCCAGTCCTCACAACTTGCCGGACTCCCATCTCTGTTCTCCGCCCAAATCGTCTAGAACCTTTCTTTACTCGCAGTTCCCCCAAGCTTAGCAGGATCCACTTTACAGAACACTCTGTTGAAGGAAACCGAGGACATGACGTCTGCCTTCTTTTTACAGATAGGGAAACAGATTCCCAGAGGGCGTGTGACTTGTCAAAGACTTGAGAATTAGAAAGAGGCAGAAGCAGAACTTGACTCTCCTCACAATTAAGATGCTTTCTCTGTGGGTGTCTGAATCTCTTTAAATTTTGTTAGTGGTTAGTCTGGAGATACTGTCTTCTCCGTTCCAGTTGCTCTCTTTTGTCTCTCTCTCTGATTGGTTTCTTGGCCCCTGCTTGACCCTCTCTCCTCGTCCCCTTTGTTTTCCTTGGTAGGAGGAGATGGACCTGAAGGTTCTGCAGTTCAAGAACAAGAAACTGGCAGAGCGGTTGGAACAGCGACAGGCTTGTGAAGATGAACTCCGAGAACGAATTGAGAAGCTGGAGAAGCGGCAGGCCACGGATGACGCCACACTCCTCATTGTCAATCGCTACTGGGCCCAGGTGGATGCCCCTCTGCTTTCCAAGACCTGGCCTTGATCCAGCTGCCAATCCTCAGACTACTCTGCTGGGAAAGGAGTATCATGCTGGGAAGCACCTGAGGGATTCATAACATTTTTGGTGCTTTCTCCCTTCAGCTGGATGAAACTGTGGAAGCCCTTCTCCGACACCATGAGAGCCAGGGGGAGCTGTCTTCAGGGACAGAGGCGCCTGGGACCCAGGAGGGGCCGACACGTGATGAGACCCCTCTCACAGAGCCAGGGACATCGGAGCTGAGGGGTAGGGCCAGAGCCCTAGGATCTGGGGAGCTTAATTAAGTCCTGGGAACGGTCCTGGAGAGGAGGGAACTTTCATACTAGTCTTCTGAATTCCCCCACCACCCTTCTCTCTCTCTCTCTCTCTCTCTCTCTCTCTCTCACACACACACACACACACACACACACACACACACACACACACTTGACTTTCTGTTTGGACAGCAAAATGCAGCGGGTAAGAACCCAGGCCCCGGGCTTTGGGATCTGAGTGATTTGGTTCATAGTGCACGTCATGTTTGACTCTCATTTAGTTCAAAAAAGTATTAATATCAAGTGTTAGCTGTGTAGTTAGTACTGTTACAGCCTCGGAAGAGACAAAGATAAGCGAAAAGAAAGACTGCCTCTGCCATCAGGGAGGAAATGATTTTAAACCATAAGTAAAAAGAAGAGGGGCCCTTGAAAGGGAATTAGTGTATGTGCACTCGTGTGTGGTTCTAATATAGATGGCAAAGGCGGAGAAGGCTTCCCTGAGGAATGATTTGGAAGCTCTGTGGCCTTGAAATTACTTTAGCTCCCTGAGCCTCCGAAGTTTCACTTTGATGACGGGCATTGCTTGTGCTGATTCAGTGAGCCATAGAGTGCCGAAGGGCTCAGTCTGGAACTTGCTATGGAGTGGTGGTGACTATTGCTGTTCTCCTCCTGAGATCTTCATGAGGGTCTGTCCCTCCCTCACAGAGCCCCTGCCAGTGCAGCTGCGGCCCCCCCTCAGTGAGCCAGCCTTGGCTTTTGTGGTAGCACTGGGCGCCAGCAGTAGTGAGGAGGTGGAGCTGCAGCTCCAGGGCCGAATGGAGTTCTCCAAGGCAGCCGTTTCCCGTGTTGTAGAGGCCTCAGACCGCCTACAGCGCCGGGTGGAGGAACTCTGTCAGCGAGTATACAGCCGAGGTTAGTTCTTTGTGTCCCGCCGCAAAGGTGTCTGTCCCCATTTGCGTCTTGCTTGTACCCCCTCAATGCCCGAGCGCAGAGGCAGCCATAATTCTCCAAGGAATAAATCAGCCACTTTCTCAGGGAAAGGGGTAGGTTGTAGATGGGGCTCTGCCTTTGGTTCATGGGGTTGAGCTCTAGAGAGCTGGGTGGGAGGAGTTGTTGATGCTTATGGGGCTACTGCCTTCCAGCTGGAGACCTTTAGAACACTTTGCACAGATTTTGGTTGCAGTTGGTGACCCACAAGGCACAGTAGCAAGGGCCCAGGCTTTGCAGGCTGACAGGCTTCTCCCAGCCCTAATCCTGTCATTCTGGGCAGATGGCTCTCCTCTCTGAGCTGGTTTCCTCCTTTGTGCAGTGGAGATACAGACTCCTGGCTTTGTCATGAGAAATTGGCAAGACAGCTGGTGGATCACACTGGGCACATAGCAGACTCCAGAATGAGTTAGTACTTTGCCCCATTGCCCTGGACTTGGCTCTTACCCGAGCCCTGCCTTCTCAGGGGACAGTGAGCCCCCCGGTGAGGTGGCTCGGGCACGCACCCGGGAGTTGGGTCGTGAGAACCGGCGGCTGCAGGACTTGGCCACTCAGCTACAAGAGAAGCATCATCGCATCTCGTTGGAGGTGGGATTAAAACCAGGGCAGGGTTTGGGTTCAACGTGCACCAAGGCTCTCAGGGAGCCAAGTTCCCTCCTCTAAGCATCTGACCCTATCATTGTCCCCAGTACTCTGAGCTCCAGGATAAAGTGACATCAGCAGAGACCAAGGTGCTGGAGATGGAGACAACGGTGGAGGACCTGCAGTGGGACATTGAGAAGCTGCGCAAGCGTGAGCAGAAGCTCAATAAGCACCTGGCAGAGGCCCTGGAGCAGGTGGGGCTTGGGTGCTGGGTCAGATGGAGCCATGACTGGGTACGTGGAGCCCTCGCTTCTCTCCTCCACCCCCATCGGTCTGTCTCTCCACAGCTCAACTCTGGCTACTATGCGTCTGGGAGCTCCTCCGGCTTCCAGGGGGGCCAGATCACACTCAGCATGCAGAAAGTGAGTAGGCACCATTTTTCCCAATCCCTCCTGTAACCTTTTCTCTGCCCCACCCATGAAAGTCTCCTCAGAATTAAGGACAGACCATCTGCATGGTCTGAGTCCCTTCCCTGTCATTCGTGGTGCTCTGTTTTATTCATTTGTATATTTAATAAGTAATTGTTAACGTTAAGTACTAAGCATGGTGCTTGGAAGTAGGCATCAGAGGACAAGAGACAAAAAACAAAGGTTTCATGGAGCTCAGGTTCTGGTTGGGGGAACACACGAGAAGTAAGATAGTTCATTAGGTGGTTACAGGTGCCCCAAAGGAAAAGCATAGAAAAGAAACAAATGGGGGCGCCTGGGTGGCTCAGTTGGCTAAGCGTCTGCCTTTGGCTCGGGTCATGCTCCCAGGGTCCTGGGATGGAGCCCCATGTTGAGCTCCCTTCCCATTGGGGAGCCTGCTTCTCCCTCTACCCCACCCCTCCCCCACTCGTGCACACGTGCACACGTGCTCTCTCTCACACATGAAAATAAATCTTAGGAAAAAAAAACCAGAGAGAGACAAATGAAAGTATATTGGAGCTGACTGGCATTCTTTGCTGGCTGGCTAAAGGAGATGTCTCACAGAGGGCTCTCTCACTTCTTGTTCATTGCACATTTTTTTGATGCTGTAAGGTTTGTTGTTCCCTGTTAACTCCTTATTTCAGGTTCCTTTTCAGGTCTTTCAAGAAGGCTACCCTGATTCCTTGTCAGTTATGAGCCTTGGTTCCCAGCACTGGCCATGCAGTATTTTCTCCCACTTACCTGGGAGCCCTTAGGAAAGTGCTTGGGTTTGGCTTGTCCATGGGCCTTCAGAATCCATCATTGCCCACATGTGGTGGGGATGTGAGGGAAGCAGGCATCCTGGCCTGGCCCTGCCTCCCACAGCCCCTCCCATTCCACAGTTTGAGATGCTGAATGCAGAGTTGGAGGAAAACCAGGAATTGGCCAACAGCCGTATGGCAGAGCTGGAGAAGCTGCAGGCCGAACTTCAGGGGGCTGTGCGGACCAATGAGCGCCTCAAGGTGGGCTCTATTTAGGACTGGGAGCCTGAACCTGCGAGGTAGCGGCTGGGTCCTGAATCTTCTTGCTGATCGTTTTTGGGCACCCTGGTCCTAGGTGGCCCTGCGGAGCCTTCCCGAGGAGGTGGTGAGGGAAACGGGGGAGTACCGAATGCTGCAGGCCCAGTTCTCACTGCTCTACAACGAGTCTCTGCAAGTGAAGACCCAGCTTGATGAGGCCCGGGGGCTGCTGCTGGCTACCAAGAATTCCCACCTAAGACACATTGAGCACATGGAGGTATGGCCCTGGAACAGACCTCAGGGTCAAGGTGTTGCTGGCCTTCGCAGGCCCTGTGTGCTGCCAGGGGTCCCTTGGGAATAAATTCTTCCTAAGCCACAGAGGCCTGAGGTGGGGGGGAA